TATTTTTGAATTGATACTGTTAACTGAATGAATGTATATCCTCTATTTTGAACTGTATTGTGGCATCCATAGCAACTACTGTTACTGTTACTGCTACTGTTACAAAGATCTCTGTCAGTTCTTACTTTGGAACTTCTGTTTACTGTTATGATGGCCATCATTGACTGCTCGGTCTTTTAAGACTTACTGTTTACTGTACTGTTCTGCTAATGGATGTACCACATATGACTGTTATGACTTAATGACTGATATACTGAATCAATTGACTGTTTTCAATACTGAAAGGACATTCATTCTTAACCTCTTTACGCATTATGTTATTCACTGGACTTTAGCTCACTGTTTATATATATATGTAGGTGTCTAGGCACCAGACCGGAGCTAGGAGCGTGGGTTAGACTCCCTTTTGTCAAAGCCAACCACTGTGCCTCACTGTGAGGTTCCGAGCCCGTTCAAGCTACGACCTTGGGGTGTTTTAGTTTCCCCCATCTGTCTCTGTATCTGTTTTGTAATACTGTATCGACTAATAGCACTGTACTGTACTGTCTTAATAGGGATTAAGTCCCTGACCTGGATGATTGTAAATACTGTGCATACTGTTTTGGTACTGATAGTATATATGTTACGAAAAATCTTTTTGCATACAGACTGTCATAACTCATTGGACATTATTTAATTACTGTTTTGGCTTCCACCAGCCCCTGTACTCTGTTTTACTGTTCTACTATTAAGCAGGCCTTCGGTAATCACGGATTACTGGCCGGTTACGGTGCTAAACCCATAGGGGCGGGTTTGGGCTGTGACAGCTCTGTAAATATATAGCAACAGAACGCTAGACAAATATATTTTTTCCAGCAACATAACACCGGACAAATGTAATTTGTCTACTATTGTGTGACTGAACAGACACTTCACAGTAGGCTCCACTGACTTTGTTATAAAGCAAATTGAAATTTTCCAATTGTATGGCAACATAATGCTGGGAAAAACTATTTTATCTAGTAACATAACACTGGATTAATTAAAATTCACTAGCATTTTATTACCGAACAGCCCCAGCACAAATTGTTACCACATCATTTAGGAGGATGTGACTCTGTAAATGTATAGCCACAAAAGGCTGGACAAAACCATTTATTCCAGCATTATAGCACCGAATTTTTGTTCCGCATTGTGTGACCGAACAGGCACTTCAATGTGGACTCTACTGGCTTTGTTAGGAAGCGAACAAAAATTATCCAATTGAACGGTAACATAATGTTGGGAAACAAAATTTTATCCGGTAACATGGAACTAGAGTAGTTCAAATTGTTTAGCATTGTATTACCGAACAAGCCCGGCACAAATAAAAAAAACATTGTTTAGGATAAGTGGCTCTGGAAATATATAGCAACTAAATGCTGGAGGGATCTATTGTTTCTGACAACTGAACACCGGAATAATTCAAATTGTTTAGCAATATGACACTGAACTAGCCCATAACACTAAACAATGTTACTTCCAGCAAATGGTACCATATCCCTCCAAAACACTTTAATACCATTACAATGCATTACAAACAATAACAAATCCATATGTTCGCCAAAATAAATTTCCATTGACATAAATATTGAATATAAAATAGATGTGAAACTGTTTAAAATTCTTACAAAAGTATGACAATTCATTACTTGTCCAATCAAGCATCCAGTTTACAAAAGATCCAAGGCATCCACAAAAACTATGCCATTAGGGAAAAGTATATCCCAAATTCTATACGGCCTAGGCATTCACAAAAACTATGTCATAAAAAAAAAACTAGATCTCAAATTCTGTACGGGCTAGGCTTTTACAAAAATTATGCCATAAAAAAAAAAAAACTACATCTCAAATATCATGTACAGTTAACACAAAACTATATCCCCCAAAATGTATACGGGCTAGACATTATGCAAAATTATGTCATCAAACAAAAAGTAGATCTCAATCCTCATGTACGGTCCATCCTACGACGTTTACGATAGTAGACTTGATGCTCTATACGTGTCGAAGTAGATCCCAAACTCTGTCCATCAAGAACTTGCAGCATGCGACCAATGGTTTCATACAGCATGTCAGGATGCAAGACACATTCATCACGACCGAGCCTATGGACTGCAGCACCAACATTGAAAGCAGCATCATTACACTGCAAAAAAATAGATAAAAATCGTACTTAGTGTTTGATTTATGGTGAACCACTTAAAAGTGAAAAAAGTTAATTCACAATTTGCTTACCCACTCAGGATCCATAGTAACATCATTCTCGGGACGTTGAACACGTGGATCAAACTGAGAGTGATGTGTAGGATTTTGAACAACCCGATGCGAAACACGAGCATACCACTCACGGTATCCCCGTACACATTTAGATGGCCGCTGCTGTACAAGCACACTACAAGCATTTATATGTTGCTTACTGAAATGAAAACATCAATAACTAGATAAATGGCATGTCGCGATGGTGCCTTCGCATATACTAGCTAATCAACAATGATTCTCTTGTTTTTACAAGGGTCCTTGCAACTCCATAGAGTAAAAAAATATACTTTTTGGTCAGTGACTTCATTGAGCAAGACCCTCTGTCGAATCCTCCCTTAACTTCCTCTACCAATTGAAGCTGCCACCACCACCATAAGTGTTCTGGGCCTTCTGGTGAAGCATCAGGTTCAGTAGCTTCGAGGTATTGCTTGATTCAGAATTATCACCATGAAAATATTTATCAAAAAAATAAAAAAGAATTATCACCATGAATGATCTGATAATTCTGAAGAAGCCTCCTCTGTATCGGCAAAACAAATTGACGTGCACAAATAGGTGTTAGTGAATATTCTAGTGATTTTGAAGGAGCCAAGTGATATTCCAGTTTGGTAAAAGTATAGAGGTTTAAAGAGGTTTGACTTCATAAAGATAGCGTAGAGAAAGTGAAGATATTTAGGAGAGAAAATAAAGAAGGAAGGTGGAGAGTTGAGAGAGAATGTGTTTCAAGAATATAAAGAAGTTTAGGAAGATAAATTAGAAAGGAAACTAGGAAAAAAGTAAAAATAACAGGGTGTGGCAACCTTAGTGGTTGTGTTAGTGGGGGATGAGAATATGGTTGGAAGGTGGATTAATGTGATTTATAATGGATTAATAATGGTAGCGGTGACTAGTGAGTTTGATGGTAGTGTTGATGAGTTGGTGAACTAATTATTGATTTGTGGTAGTCATGATGGTCAACCTGTGGTAATAGGTGGATAGATGTTCAAGGATTCCACTATTGGTGTATGGTTTGGGGTGGTGCTATAGGGGAGTGCAATGTGGTTGAGATTGGTGCATCGTACATACTGTAGGGTTGTCAATTGGGCTAGCTTGAGTGTGAGATCGTCCTGAAGAAGAAACACTGGTACTAGGCATTGGCTTAGCTTGTCACTAGAACATTCCCACTTCCAAAACTCAGCTCATTATCTTATATAAGTTACTTAGTAAAAAGTTTGGGGTAACCCAAATCTATGAAACAAGGAAACATCTATGAGAGATTCTAATTATAATTTTGAACATAAATTAAGAGAAGTATTAAACAAAAATGGTAATCTTGAACTTAGTTTAATGTAACATTTTTATTATACATGATTCATTTTTAATGTGATGATGGAATGTTTTGTAGGGATGGTGCTCACTTGACTAACCCAGAAATGGTGCTCACTTGACTAACCCACAAAACTCTAACCCAGAAATTCAATTTTTTTCCACAACTACTGATAACCTTCTATGACAGCTCTTTACCCAGAGAACCCTAACCCTTTCCACTTAACTATCACTCTCAAAAAAAAAAGAAAAAAAAAGAAAGAGACAGTAGGCAAAACAGAGGACCAAAAATCTTTTAAATCATAGAACCAAAATTTGAACTTCAACATTCAAAACTAGCACAAAAAATCACAAACCCAATTAAATTCCAAGATCTAAACCACCAAAGCTATGTTGGGAATGTGCTATTCTTTGTCTATTCGCAAAAAATGATGACATAGATGATATAGATATATAGATAGATACACACATCTATGTCTATCAATATAGAGAGAGAAAGAAGAGTTTTCTCACTTACCTTTGGCAAATGAGAAGAGTGAGTTCAATCGTCCACGCCGACTGAACGCCTCCGCGCCGATGTTGTCTACTCTTCTTCCCTGCGTCGTTCTCTTTGCGTTGTTCTCTATTCCCTCCAAAGGTATGGGTGTAAAGAGATGGGTTTTGAAGAGTTTTTTATTATAGGGTTTGTTTTAGTACTATATTAGGTGTAATGAGAATTCAATTTTTTTTTAAGTGGTATAATGAGATGGAGGGTGTAAGAAGGTAAAACAGTTGTGTAAGTAGAATCACCCCATCAAAAGCACACCCCATGAACTCTGCACCGTGCCTCATGTGTGCCACAAGCCCAATCATTTGTTTTAAATATTTAATTTATTAAAAAAATCATTTTTAACTAGCAAATCTCTAATTCTTTATTTTTTAACAAATGATTATTACAAATTTAGTAAAAAATAAAAAATAATTTACACCCAATTAAATAAAATAATTAGTGCAAACTTTATTTGATATATTTGGAGAAACGATTTCCCCAAATTTAAATGGGTAAAATCTACTTAACTTTTATGAGATTTAAAAAAAAAAAATAATTTTACATTTTTGACATAACTACATTAATTTTTCTTAAAATTTCATTTTACATAACACTTTAATTTTTTTATTAGTAATTCCTTAATCATATAAATAAAAAATATATATAATCATATATTTTTTTACTAAAATATATATATTTATTCTTATTTATTTAAGTATTTACCTATTACAAACATTAGTTTCAATTGTAATAATACTATATAATAATTATATAAAAATATGAAATTAATCGTATTTATTTTTTATTTTTTTAAATGAGGTGAGTGTAATTTACCAATTTAAATTTGATTGATAAGTTTTAAGTGCACCAAACAGGGCCTTTCCCCTTTCCAGTGTCCTCTGCTTCTGCTACACTCTCTCTCTCTCTCTCTCTCTCTCTCTCACATGGGGAACCCTTTGTTTCGCAGCCTCCGTAGAGCTTCTTCTCTCACTTCTCTTCTCAACGTCTCTTCCTCCAATACTCTCACTTTCAGGTAATAACTCTCTCCACACTCTGTACCCTTCTCCCAAATCCCTGTTTTCACTGTATGCCCACCATTTTCTTCTTCGTCTTCCAGGTCAATTTTCCACCAATCAAATCCAATTTTCGCTCCATTCAGACTTCAAATTTCATTCTTTCCATCGAACCCTTGGTGGGTATTCAGAAATCTGAGTCACGGTTCAGTCAATCTCGTGATATCCCAAGGAAAACCCAAGTTCGAGACCCATGAAATCGATCCTCCGAAGAAGGAGAAGTGGAAGACTAAGAAGAGGTTGAAGCAACAGAGGATGAGAGAGAAGCAGAAGAGAAAAGCGGCCAATAAGAGAGACCCCCGATGGCTCGGCGTAAAAGGGAAGAAAAAGAAGAAGTTTGCTAATGCTGAGGAGCGAATCAAAGACAAACTTGAAAAAGTGAGTGTGATTGAGTTGTAATGTAACAGTCTATATATTATATTGGGTTATTCATTGAAAGTTTAAATCTTTTTTGTTTGTCATTTCTTTTAGCTATTCCTTTCAATTTTACTGCAAATTGTTTATATATTTGTAGTAGTTCTGGTTCTGATGTTATGTTGGATGTTGAACATGATTGATTGATTCATCCATTGTTAGATAGCTTATGGTATGTAGGATGTGGTTCCGTGCTATAATTATAACTAGTCGTGGGTACAAAAGTGATGCGTTTGCAATTTTTGATTCAAATTTTTGGAGGAATTGGTAATTGAGGGGCGGTTTGATGAATGAGGAAACATTTTGTAGTTTTGGACAGTTTTAAATATTTAACATTATTCTTGTGGGTTGATGAATTTTGCACCCTTGTTGGAATTAGCTTGGAAGGTAAGGAGAAAAAAGAAATTGGTGAGTTTGGGATTTGGATTCACACACCTTAGTCAAATGCTGGTCTTCTTGTGGATGCCTCTCTTTTAGTTCTTTCACCATCATTTAATCACATAGGTATGAAAAAGAGTATGCATCAATCTCTATAAGCACGTCTTATTTAATTCAGTTACTTTCAAAGTAAATAAGTTGTTTGTCACTGTTGAGTCAGAACTGCCGAGGGGTTGAGAGATACATTACCCCCTTTTGTGGGTTTTGCCTAAAATGAACTTAAGTCAATTTCTTATTTGAGTAAATGGACTGAAATCAGGAAGTTGAGTCTAATTGCTTTTGAAAGTTAATTTATCACATCACCATGCCTCCCAATTCAATTATTGAATGACTAGATCAATTCGATAAAAAATTTTCTTTGCGTATATCCTGGTATATTTCTTTCTCACTGTGTGCCCAGCCTCCCAGAAAAGATACAAATTTAAAAAATAAAATTGAAACAATGTTTACCTTCTGTTTTCTTTGTTTCATTATATCATTTGAAATCTGTACTTATACTGGTCCTGAGTGTTCCATTCCAGGCAAAAATTAAGGAAGCCATGCTGATCGAAAGACTTAAGCGGTATGAAGTTCCTAAACTACAGTGTCCTGCGCCTAAACCACATGACTTAACTGGTGAGGAAAGGTTCTATTTGAAAAAGATGGCCCAGAAAGGGTCTAACTATGTACCAGTTGGGAGAAGAGGAATCTTCGGAGGTGTGATTCTTAACATGCATATGCATTGGAAGAAACATGAAACTGTCGAGGTCATCTGCAAACCTTGTAAACCTGGTCAGGTACACGAGTATGCAAATGAAATTGCCAGGTTGAGTGGTGGAATTCCAATTCACATAATCGGAGATGACACCATAATCTTTTACCGAGGAAAGAATTATGTGCAGCCAGAAGTTATGTCGCCGATTGATACATTGTCCAAGAAAAGGGTATATTTTCCAACTTTTGATTTTCTAGAAGGTTTTGTTATTTTCTTATATTCTCAATTATATAGTCTTATTTTATTTTTGACCGAAAAGGTCCTCTTAGTAAAAATGATTATCACCATAATTAATGCCATTCATGCAACTGTTTTTATGGTGAACGCATGAATCTTAATGGTAGCTCATGAAAGTCATGTCTGCTTGATTAGTCTAATCAAATAAGAATTGTTTTGTTCCAACCAAAAAAAAAAAATCAAATAAGAACTGTTGGTGGTATAATTTATTTATTTATTTTTTAAATTTCTTTGCTGGATAACCTCGGGTTCTGCAACTTTTGCTTTGTCATGTGAATGATCACTCTATGCTCAAATTAACTAGGGAGTCAAAATTAGACTGCTTGAGGGTGGAGGAAATTGGGCTGGTTCTCCGTCTCAATATTGGATATATTACTTCTCTGTCTGTGTTAGTACTTTCTCTCTTGCTCAACATATTAATTTTTTTCTGTATTTCCAGGCACTGGAAAAGTCAAAGTATGAGCAATCACTCGAGTCCGTGAGACACTTCATTGCGATTGCTGAGAAGGAACTAGAACTATATTACAGACACGTTGCACTTTATGGCAGCCCAAATAGTCGGAGTCCCAACTCAATTCTTGACAGTCCAAAAAGAGGCAATGAGGAGCCAAAGAGAATTGAACCTACCGTAGAAGGGAACCTTGACTCAACTATTAGTGGATTTTCCCCAGCTCTTTCAGAGGCAGAGATTGATTCCACAGATCATGAACTATCTGAAACTGAAGATGATTTTCTAGATGAAGACCCATCTGTAGGTGAAATAGATGTTGATGATGACAACGTATCTAGAAATGATTTGGATTCTTGTGATGAAGGAGAGGAGACATTAACCAAAATGTTAGGATCATCACCATTGTATAGAAGTGGGTGGGATGCTGATAATCAAGGATTTCAAAGTGAAAATAAACTATAATAAGAAACTTGTGATTTGATTTAACTTAAATTTTCTTTGTTTTCACGATGTTCTTTTGTTTGGGAGGTAAAGACTTGATATTTTATGTGGTTGCTGTCAGTCAAGGTCTTAATTTTACAACAGGTCCTTGGTCGCTAGGTCATCAGTGATTCTGCAGTGTATAAAGTCCTACATTTTCCCCCCAACAGTGGTTTAGATTATAGTTACTCTGATGTTTCACATGTCCTGAAAAGTTCTTTATTTTGAGTTAGTGGAGTACTGAATATCCTCTGCTCTACCAGCTGAGCTAGCCCCTCCTCCCTCTTCATTGTACCTTGCCCCACCTCCTTCTTTAGGTCCGAAAACTCAGCCTCCTACCTCCTCCTTCCTCCTAGATCTGGGAATTAATATACAATTTCGTTGAGAGTTTCTTATTTTCCTATTATTCTGGAAGTCTTTAGATTCAACGGAGTTATAGAAGAGTTGTGATTTTCTTGTTGCTTCAGATTTTGCTATTCACATTTCGCTGCTGCAACAAAGTTTCACGGTGGTGGTGGCTGGCGGTGGTGGTAGGATTGAGAGGAGGTGGCAGCCAGCGGTGGTAGATTGAGGGGGAGTGGATTTTTGTCCTAAATGGTAATTTGCTTGATGGACACAATGATAATTAAAATAAAAATAATAATTATACTAATAATTGGGAAAATGGTGTGCACCAGAGGAAGTGTAGTGTGCAAATAGAAGCTCCTATGGTATCTTATGTTGGTTATGGTCTAGGTTGGTTTGTGTTTTGTTGTCTTATTGGATGAGCTATAAGCTCTCAAGGTACATATGCTCTTTCTGTGTGAGCTTATTACATTTCCTTGCCTACTTTTCTGATGAAATGAAGCTTTTCTTTTGCCCCGCATTTCTTGAAAATAGCCATTTTATTAGCTTAGTAACTCAGAACTGAAACAAACCAAAAAAAAAAAAATTGCTTTCACCCAAGTAATGAATAAATTATTCAAGGAGCATGCCAACCAAAATAACAGAAGCCTTCTCGTGAACTGTTTGCTCACAGATACCATACCAAATAGAAATCAGATTGTTGTACCAAATGTCAGAAAATGCACAAAACAAGTGGGAGTGTAAAATCTAGTGAATCAAGAAATGTTGTTAACTGGTCCTGAAGAACAAGCAAGAAAGAAAAACTCGATCATGACAATGTTATCATATACAGACATGAAGCCAAACTCATTCTCAAATTCACTTCAACAATTAATGAAGTCTCGATACAAACTACTTGGGATTCAACTACATCACCTCCTCACCTTTCAAAATTTTCTAGAAACACGTAGGGCAGTTACTTCTCATTATTTTTTTTCTTGAGTTGCCCACTTAAAGCTGTTTTGGCATTCATCCACTCTCTCATGGAAGCATCACTCCTCATGAAAGTGCAAGTTTCACCAATTGTAAAGTTCCTAACGGATTGTTGCACTGGCGCTGCACGATTTTCCTTCGGAGCAGTAATCTCATCTGCTTGATCACCAAAAACCTGCAGATTTTTTTGTGGAGAACTCAGCTCAGAATCCGGACCAGTAGGCAAAGCAATAGTATTGGAAATATTCGCAGTAATGATTTCCTCGTTGCCTATTCCTGAAGCTTTAGAAGCACCTCTAGAGGATTCACCTCCAGCTGAATTTGTGACATTCATGCTCTTGGGCTTCAAGTGCTCTTGTTCTTTGAAAGTCATACCAGGCAAAAGTTGGGAAATGCTGAATGAATTATTTGTTGCACCAACCAATTGGGTCCAGGACGACCGTTGTAGCCACGATGCACCTCTGGCATATTTATTTGAAGCTGTATTTGATTTATTCGGTTGGGTTACAGCAACTTCCTTTGCCTCTTCAGACCGGCTGGGTTGAGATTCCAAGTTTGTATGCTTCACCAGGTTCTGGTTTTGGAACTTGGTGAAGTTGGGAACGTTAACACCGTCAGACTTCGATTCTTCTTTAGTAGAAGCAGTGCTTTGCATAATATCTGAGATGCAGAATGAAGTGTTGCCCCTTTCACCAGACAGATCTCTCCACTTGGACTTTTGTGACCATGAAAGATTTTTATTCGATTGCTCAATACCTGATTCTAGGCCTATGGCTTGAGCAGATGCGTGTAAATTGGCTTTTTTTGCACTCCTCTTCCTCTCAGGGTTAGCAGGCACTACTTCATTTCCATTGGTCTCCGCTGAGAGAGGTGATTTTCTCTTCTTGTCCGAAGGTACAATCTTCCTTCTCTCACTTTTGAACACATTCCCAGATGGCCTATCTTTAGAAGTTCGCAGTTCATTGATTATTGCCACCTATAACCAAAGCAAGTGAAGAGAGAATGTCAGGCTATAACTAACAAATGATAATCATACAAGTAAAACCTAAGCAAACATTTGCACTGCATCAACAGAGCATTGGGCCTGTTTGGTGCAGCTTTTCACAAGCTGAAAGTTGATAATCAGAAAGCATAAGTTAAAAACACCCCGTCTTTGGCTTCCAAATAATTAACTTTTTTTTTTCCAACTTATTTAAGCCATTTCTGTTGCATAAGCTGTAAGAAGAAGTTACACCAAACAAACCGGCACAGACACCTAAAATAAAAATAAATAAAAAAAGAAGCTACAAACAGCTCTATAAGCTGCACCAAATAGCACAGTTAAATTGCACCTCATTTGCCAAGACTCTTTCCTGTTCCCGACTCCCTAACAAAGCTGTAATGTTCTTTCCCCCTCCCACCATATTCATTACAAGGTTGTCTTCATCAGTCATATCATCTGTTTCATTCTCATCAACTCGCTGGTCATCAACTAATTTAGTCACATTGTCTCCCTTGTTGACCAACCCAGTCTCGGTGCATGCAGCCTTCGAAATATTTTCCTTCCCAAAGAGCTTGTTCATCACTGACTTCATCATGTTAAGCTCTTTATCATCTATTCCGCCACATTGTGTTTCGAGATCAGAAAAATCTTTTTCTTTGGCAGTGTGATAAGGATCAGAGTGCTCCTCACAATCACAAAAATGGATTGGGAGAGGAGGAACTTCAACACGTTGGAAACTGTATTTGTGCTTGCCAGTTCCATTGAAAGGCAACAATTTCACCTACAAAAGAAACCCTGTTAGTTTTGAGCACATGTGAGCATACAAAAGCAGAGTTTCATGCACTGCTGACCAAAGTACTCAACCCAGCTCTAAAATATAATTTTCATGTGAGTTAGAAAAGCAAATGATACAGATCAAATGCAAAATTGCAAATACACAATGAGATTGCACGATCAAAACGGGATGGGGGAGAAACAGAGAAAGTCACCTACCTTTCTTAATTTGGGAAAGAAAAGCCGAACCTCCGTCTTTTCCAGGTTCATGACATTTTTGAGCTTTTCAGTAGAATCCATGTTCCTAGTTGCATCAACAGCATTACTAGATGAACTATTTGCAAGTTTAGCATCTTCTGCCCACTCCCGTTTCAAGCAAAGAAGAAAATGCTCTTTAGCCTTCTCAAGTCGCAGCCTCCCTCCCTTCCACATGCACCCATTATACTGTAGAGTTACAGATCAGATGATAAGAGCAAGCACCTCTAAGTAAGACATGTGAAACAATATTCCAGACATCAATTTACTGAAAGAAATTACCAAATAACCAGGATAAATAGATTTGGACTTCAGACAGAAACAAATCGTTTGCTCTTCCAACTTTTAAAAGATCTGTATGCTCCTAATTTTGAAATGATACTTCTTTTCTTCACTCCAGTACACTGGAGCCACGCTAAATATAAAAGAAAAAAGCATGATTTGAAATTAAAATGGATCCCGTTCTACAACATCTCATATCATAGTAATGGCTCTGTGCATACAGAGTGAGCTTGGCAGTATGACATACATTCAAAGTAGCTAAGATTTTGCCTCTCAAGTACCCGCTCAAAGTAGCACACTTTTCATGGAAAAATCCTTTTTTGAATTGCCTTATACCTGGACCTAGAGTTCATTACCAATTTGCCATGAAGAACCACTGTAACTCACATTTCTGAGTTCTGATATGTTGTATTGGTTTTATTGTTTTTTTTTTTTTTTTTGGTTGTTGTTGTTGTTGATAAATGTTATATTGGTTTTATTGTTCTTCTGTCTTTGTTGTTTTCATCCTTTTCTGGTAGGGTTGTTCTTTTAGGTCTTGCTCTTTACTCTTTAATTTAAAAGCGTCAAGAACACGTAGGGCTAAGGTGTTTTTTGTATAATTAACATGGTACATTATATTCTCAAACGGTCTAAGAAATTACTCAAAATTCTGAAGAACCATCCCAAATTTCTTTGGGTAGAAATTTCTGCTGCAACCCATATTCGATCTGTAGCAGGGGCAGTGCGAGAGTAAAAAAGATATCAAGTTTTGTTGGGAATGCTGCCTCAAATTATGAACATCTCTCGAGTCTCAACTAGGATTGTTAAAACTAAATATCATCAAAAGATAACTGCTTCAATTGGCCTAACAAGTGAAAAGGTTCTCACATTTGGAAAAGTATTCCTAAATCAAAAGAAGTACTCACAAGAGGAACTAAATGGTTAGTTGGGAATGATGAAAAAATATATTGGTGGTGTGGAGACCATCCTCTTGCTTTGACCTCCCGCGGGCCTCACGTTAATGATCACATTACGTTTGACACCAATATCAATGAGGATGGAGATGGATTACTTCTACCATTATACCTACTTGTCTGCTCAAGATAGGGATAAGATTCTTAACAACCACTTCCCCAAATTTGTGACCTATCAAGATAAGCCTACCTACCTGGAAGGGAAGGGTTCTTAGGATGGTAAGTTCTTTGCTTAGCATATTATCAGTGAGAGTGAGGAAGGACATATAAATTAGAAATGGATTTAAAAACTGAAAATCCCACATAAAATAAAGGATCTATATAGATGTTTATCCATTGGAGATTATTAACTAACCACAAGAAAATTATTGCAACTTTAAAAAAGACCTGAATCACTTGGTGAGAGATTGTTGTAATAATAAGGAACTTTGGAGAGAACTTGGAGGTGATCAGAGGACCAGGGATAGTCTAGGAAAGCCTCTTGTTGATTGGTTGAATCTCAATTTCAAGAATAAAACCAAATGCATTAAAAGATATCCCCTGATTATTTAATTTGTTGTTACTATTTGGAACATTTGGGAGAATAATACAACATGCACAACTCAAATACTAATAAAAAAATTGTAAAATTTGTCAATTTGTAAAGCATTTTCCTTGATGGATTACAACCCAGAAATTTGTGATGTCATAAATTTATGTTTATTCTGGTCTATGCATCTCTAATATCATCTTTTAAGAGTGGCAGTGAATTAAAGTCATTGTATAGTTAGCTTATAATTCCTAAGACCATCTCCAATCCTTCAACTCATTAAATTTGGTTAAAAATTTCTCAAAAACCATCTCCAATCCTTTCATCAAATGTTCATCAAATCAAGGGAGAGTCATTTTTTTCCATCAAATTGAGAACCCATCAAACCCTTCATCAAATTTGAAGTTGATGAAAATTTAAAAAAGAAACCCATTGGAAATAGATTTTTTTTTTAAATCAAATTTGATGAAAAGGCAAATTAATATTTTGATGAAAATTTGATTAAAGGGTTGGAGTAGTTCATATCAAATCAAACTTTTTACTAAAATTTGAAACTTGAATCAAATTAGATGAAATTGGAGATGCTCTAATGTTAGGATAGAAACCTAGAAAAACCCATCAATACAAAGTAATTTTGGACAATATATGGAGATCCCAGAAAGAAATACCGTGCTGAAAAGCTTGGAAAGAGATTTCTGGGAAGAAGGAAGGAAGTCGAAGTAAGCAAAGCTGCGACCTTTGGTGCGAACTATCTCCACTGAATCAATGGTCCCCAAAGAAGAGAAAGTGTTGCGAAGATCTTCAGCTTTCACGGTCGCTCCCAAACCCCCAACGAATATCCTTGTCGTCGTTGTTGTTGATGTGCCATTGTTTTCATCTTTTTCTTCGTCGTTCTCGCAAATACTGGTACTGGTTTTTCTGATATTCAATCCTTCACCTGCCATTTCTCCTCCCCAAAACCCTAATCCTGTATAGAAATTTAGGGTCCAACTACAGGAGTCCTACAGTACAGAAAATTGATTTTTTTATACCATACCACTCTCTCAACACAGTTTACCCTTCGGAAATCACCGGTTTTGCAGAGGTGGTGACTTTTTTTTTTTTTTTTTTTCCCTTTTCTTTTTTAATTTAGGAGTAGGTGGCCACCTTTTATGCAATGGATTTTACATCGAATTATTTTAAAATACAGAAAAAAAAAATTTTACACTAATCTTTTTAAATATTTAAAAAATAAATTGAGTTTTATAAAATTTGACATAATTATATCAAATTTCTTTCCAGATTTAATTCACATAATATTTAGTTTATTTATTTATAACATTCTATTAGTTGAATAAATAAAAAAGTTGATGCTATTTTTTTAATATTGAAACACTATTTTATCATTTTTCTTTCTTGTGTTTACTTATAATCTGCATTAATTACAATTGTTTTAACTTTTCTAAATAAGAGATCGGTATAATTATATTAAACTTATAAAATTTATTATATTTAATAGTAAATAGACTCGCAACAAATGACAAGTAGAGTTAAGTTTTAAGTTGTCTTATATTAGGGGTAAGCATAGTTTGATTTAGTTCATTTAAGAGTTTTTGATGATATAAACTATTTATTTTATAGGGTTTATCCGTAAAAAAATTAAGTTGATATGATAATTATAATATTTTCACGTTATAGCGTTTGCCTTTAAAAAATAGACGACAAATGTATTTTTGAATATAGACTATCTATTTTTTTGAGACAAATACGGTAAAATGAAAATGTTAGAAGTATCAGATTAATCGAATGTATTTATTATTTTCTTATAAATGATAACACATATGATTTTACAAAATAAACAATTTAAATTATCAAAATAAATTTTTTTTATGGGTTTCATGAACCTAAACATATCATTTAAATTCAGTTTTAAATTTGAAATAAATTCAACCTCAAGAAAATTTCAAAATCCGTGAACTTGTTTACTTCTATGTGCCGAACGAATACCAGCTGCAAAGCTCTCTGTTGTTGCTACTATCAGGTGGGTGATGGATGGAATTTTGAATTATTTTAAATTCGGTTCATGTGGAGTGCGTGTGCTAGGAGGAATTTTGAATTATGTGAGCTTGGTCCACGTGGTTGGTTGCTGGTTTTGGTAGCCCTCGGTTTTTCCAACGAGAAGTGGATTGATCTTTGCTTCTCAGTGAGTGTATATAGTAAATAATAAATTATATATATATATATATATATACATACATATATAAATAAACAGATTAATTCGGTTCCAAATCATACTCGTAACTATAAAATTACAGACCAAATCGTGAAGTATGGTTTGCTAATTTTAAAAACTAAGACCAAATCATGTATTAAAAAAATAAATAAAACCATGCAGTTTAGTTTGAGATTGAACACTACTTACTATTTACTGCACAAACTTTAAAGTTGTGTAATCAAATTTTAAATTAATTTTGAGTTATACAATATTAAGGGGTTATTTGGGATGATCTAAGTAAGTGTACTTTTTAACTTTTTACAAAAAAACGTGAAATATGAGTTGAGCTTTAAGTGATGTGATAAAGAGATGATGTGATTTAAATGAGATGATGTGATTTAAATAATATAACAACTTTTTAACTTTTTATCTTTTTTATATTATGCCAGACTAGGCCTAATAAAGTTGTGTCATGTTACAAGAAGTGACAAGTAAATTAGTAACAATTAGTAAATATACAAAAATTATAATATAATGAAATATTAAGTGGTAAGTAGAGTCACAATGTGTGATAAGTAGAATCAAAACGAATAGTTAGTATGTTGCTTATAAATGGCAAGTACTTAATGATATTTTACTTATTACTCAATTAGACCTCAATTACTCATCAATCAAACTCTCTACTTACCACTCGTTCATGCTTTATTTACTATTTTATCAAACTTGACTTACGATTCAATCAAACATGATTACTACTCAACAAAATCTAGTTACTATTAATTGGTAAGTAGAATAAAAATAAATTGTAGGTCCCAAAATGACTGACAAATAATAAATTAAAAATATGAATTTTAAATTATTAAACAAAATGTAAGGTTGTATTTGGTATGTAATTCAAACCATGATTCCATACCTATTATCAACCTTCTGTTTACTTTGTATGTTTGCAGTAAATAATAAGTCACTATTATTTTTTTTAATTTCAAAATTAAGTAAAAGTACTATACTTTTTGAAAAATCACCTTACTTTTTCTACCTAGTTTTACTATCTATTTATCCAACAACTAACATTTATCTAAATTTAATGATCCATATTTTTTTAATTAACATACATGAAAACCACTTTCATGTATGGTAGAATTTTCCATATATGTGGTTACACGGCTAGGGTCCATGGAGTCTCCGTCAACACTGAAAATAAATTCATTTTTTTGAAATAATGTAAAAAGAATAACAAAATTACAAAAATAAAATAAAAAATTAGGGTAAATATTTTCATTTATGGGCAGGGAATAAATTTTAATTACAGTAATAATAAATAAAATTACAAAAGGGGTGAAAGCAATGCCCCTACTGTTTCCCCATTTTCCTTTCTCTCCTTTTTCTTTTTGCAAATTTTATTGTTCCCATTCATTGCGTACTATTCCTCCTTACAAACCCTTCCTCCAATCCTTTCGCACCACCCTAACCACAGTTACACCGTGTCATTTGCTCATCCTTATACCATTCGTCTTGTTCTCCTTTTTTTTTTTTTTTTTTTCCCCCTTCCACCATTCGATCAACTACTAGCAATTTTCTCATTATAAAATCACTTCCTTCTCACTCTTTCTAGCACTATTAACTTACACTCTACCTTTTTACTTTCTACTGAAACCTTCATTTTCTTTGGCAACAAATTTTCCACCCACCATTGCTCCCATAGCTCTTTCTTTGTCGAAAATTGCATCTTTTCTCTATACAACTTCCTCACCCTTCAACCACCGAAAATCCATTACCTCTCTACTACTCCATTACCTCTCTATCATTGAAATCCTATCTCTACCATTAAACAACCACAAAAACGTAATAAAAAGAGATGTAAAAATATAGAGAAAGCAACTATACTGTGTAGAAAAAGGGACATACAAAAGAGACAGAAAATAAGAAAAAAACATTAGTTGATCGAGGTAGAAAATAAAAATATATGACATTTGTATATTTATAAATATAAATACAGTAGTTCATTAAATACGAGTAAATCTCATCATGATGTTATTGGTATATTATAAAATGATTCAAATGACAATTTCATTGTATTAAAATACTCCTTGAAGTTTTTAATTACCAAAATGAGGCAAATTTAATCCCATAATGTATAAATTTATTGCAAAGTTGAAATCTTGAACTTTAGTCAATTTGAATTTGACAATCCTATTATAGTAGCTAACACTTTGAAGTTTGAGAGAGATGAGAAAGGGCGATAGATAAAAAGTAAATTTGGCATATATATAAGTATATATATTTTAAAAGAGAGAATTACTTTTTTTCATCAATTTTGCTTGACAAAAATATACAAGTAATAGTTTAGATTGGAAAAAAATAAAATAAAATCAAAAGATATGAGGCAAATTTAATCCCATAATGTATAAATTTATTGCAAAGTTGAAATCTTGAACTTTAGTCAATTTGAATTTGACAATCCTATTATAGTAGCTAACGCTTTGAAGTTTGAGAGAGATAAGAAAGGGAGATAGATAAAAAGTAAATTTGGCATATATATAAGTATATATATTTTAAAAGAGAGAATTTACTTTTTTTCTCATCAATTTTACTTGACAAAAATATACAAGTAATAGTTTAGATTGGAAAAAAAAAATAAAATCAAAAGATTATGATTTAAATTTATAAAATTAAAAATTAAAAAGTAATTTTATTTTCAAAGTCAAATCCCAAGATTATTTTTGTAATTTTCTTTAAAAAAAATAAATAACGATAGAACCAAACTCCGTTAGTTGATGTAACCCTTGACAAACGGAGGAAAAAATCTAGAAGAATAACATCTCAGTGAGACAGAATATTTTTTTTTTTCCTTTTACACAAACATGGCACAATTTTTCAGTTGCACTTCACCATGGAATAACTTGCATCCTACATATTTTTGTAATTTTTTTCTCTGTTCTATTGTGCTATAATTCCCTAGAAAATTATACTGCGGCTAACTACAAACCTTAGGGAGGACAATGTAAAGGAAAATTCAAATATACGCCCCTTTAAAAAGGGTGTATAATATGCACCCTTAATAATGTCACTTTCTTCTTAGTTATGATCAATTTTTTTCTTTAGCTATAATATTATTTTAGTTATGACTCATGAATTTTTTACTTATGTCTTATATTATATTTAGTTATAATATTTTTTCTTTCTTTTAGTTACGACTCATAGAATTAAAATTATGTCATTTTTTTAATTATAAGGAATACCCACAATAGTGCTTCCGTATGTAAATCATGGAACAACAGAGGCATTAACGTATTACTCAAAAACCTCAAGGACTTCCAATGTAATTTGTCAAAAAATTTCTTTCGTCTTCCCAGATCACCCGATCATCGAAGCCGAGTGCAGGTTCAACTAGATTTTTTGGAGGTTCAACTAGTTTGCTTCTCTGCAATCTCTCATTCAAAGCTATTTGAACTGAGAAGTTAACGCGAGAGAGAGAGAGAGAGATTTCAAGAATATGCCTCCGAGGAGAGAACTCTGTAGAAATTTTCAGCGTGGAAGGTACGCCATTCATCTTCACCCTCCTCTTCAATGGTTTCTCGGTTGTTTTCTATTTTTTCTTCGAAACAACATTAGGGTTTCATACTCATAAACAGTATTTTATCTTTTCAATTTCAAAAATCAATTCATGCCTTTTTTCGTTTAATTTTATTTATTTTGCAGTTGTCAATATGGTGATCGGTGTAAGTTTCTTCATGTAGCTCAACAACAACAACAACAGCCTAAACCTAATGTTTTTGGATATGGTGCGCAATCTACCACACCATTTCATCGCTTAAATTCACAACAGCAGCAGCAAAAGCCCAATCCTTTTGGATTTGGTGTTCACGGCAGCTCTCAGCCAAGAGTG